GGGATCATGACCTGAGCCGAAGGCAGACGCTTAACGACTGAACCACCCAGGCGCCCTATAAAAATATTTCTAACTAAAGAACTATTACTGGAACTATTAATCTAGAAACAAGGAACCTTATTTCATGGAAAGCACTGGGATACACTGACCAGATTATTATTTTGAAGGTCTTACTTTCCCAAATTGTTATGTGAAGCATAACCCTATGTATATGTGTCATTAAATGATCATTTCTACGCATTGCTATAATTTTCACCTTCATAGTTCAGTTGACATTATTTAAAATGAAAGAGGCACCCTGATTTACATGTGTAATGAATGGTCATTTTTAATTAAAGAGAGTGGTCTTTAAGACTTGAATGACTGAGCTTTTTGCTGACATTTATCTCAATTAGTTCAATTTATTTTTACATATATTAAACATCCACTGTGTTATAAAGCCTTGTACTGGTCCTGATATTTATGTGCAAACATGAACCTTGACCTCATGAAGCTTATAGTCAGAGACAGAGATAGGTATCTATACGTTTATAGATATACTCATATTTGGTATAATGTTTATGATACTATAGTTGAGAGTCCAGAGAAGGGACAGTTAGCCCAGGCTTGTGGGGTATGTAAGGTAAAGAAAGACTTCTTGATCTTTCTTCATGGAAATGATGAATAAGCTGAGTGTTCAGGATGGGTGAAATTTAGCTTGGGTAAGAAAAGTGGACAGGTTATTCTGTCAGAGAAACTCAGCATGAAAAGCTCTGAGGTACATTGAGAAGATTATAAGAAATTTAGTGTTACTAGATAATAAAGGTGGCCAAAGGGGAAGCTCTGGGGGTAAATGAAAGTCTAAGTCATAGAATGCCTGTAGTTCCTACAAGAAGGCAGCTGAGTGAATATGGTTTAGAGAGGAATGACTTGAGGCAGGGATCTATTAGTAGATATTTACAACACCTGGAGAAGAGATGTTGTGGATACAAACCAGGCTATAGGAGCAGAGAGGAGTGAATGGGAAAATTCAAAATTTAACAATTTTTAGTGTTAAAAATCAGGCTCACTTGTGTATATTTGAATGTGTGGAAGAAGTACATTTAAGGAGTACTGGAGAGTGGTTGGAAGGGAGGGAAGACTCTAAAATAATTTCAGTTTTCTGTATTTGTTGTCCTAATGATTAGTATTGTCATTAACTATATTAGGGAGTACAGAGACGAAAGAAAGACATGATGAGGTCAATGTTCGACATACTGAGTTTGAGGGATACTTAAGAGGAAGTGTTCAACATAGATCAGGAGTTGCAGATATAAATTAATGATTTGTCATGATAAAATATTAATTAAATCTACTCATTCATTCACTCAAAACTATTTATCAATGACCTATTACATGTCAAGCTGAGAGTATATCAAAACACAAAACACTGAAAAATACCTGCCCCCATGACAGTTACAATCTAGAAGAGGTTACAGTGTGTGAGAATAGATTAAATTTCCCAAAGTGAGTGGGAAAAAGAATGTATATATACACTACGCTAGGTGTTTAAACCTGCAATATGTAAGATGTACTGCATTAAGAAGAGCCCACAGGAGACTGGCCAGGAAGGGAGGAGAACTAGAAGCTGGGAACAGTGATGTTTAAACTGATGGTGGTTTCCAGATGAAGGGCAGTGACAAGTCCAGAGACATGAGGGCTGAAACATGATGAGCATTATCAAAGTCCACAGTGAATTTCCTCTCCCATTGTAGTAATGTGGGCATGGATAGATTTCCATGGGATTCAGAGTAAACAGGAGTTGTTTCTACTAGTATTGAGTCTAAATTGCTTTAAGAAGCTTTGGTGAGCTGTAAGGACAAGAAGAAGGTATTGATTCATGTAGAGCACAGGCTTAAGGGGAAATTTTGCTCGAGAGAGAGATTTTATATTGTAGCCTGACAAAAACTAAAGTTGATGGAGAGAAAAAGATTGATGGAACAGGGACAGAAGATGAAGGTGACAGGATTCTTAATGCTGTGAAGCAAGGGTACAGGAACCAGGAACAGTGGTCTTGATGGACTGTGAGACCCCAGTGAGTCTGAATCTGGATGAGGGGTGGAAATTGTGATGAGTAGAATAGAAGGAGAAAGATGCCATCAAGGAGGACTAAAAAGGTGACATAGGTAGACTGGTTTGGCCCTCCCAGGAGGAGAATGTTTTGTGCAAAGGTCAGGGAGTATTAACTTAGAATGGGTGCTGGTTGGGCTAGAGGTGAGCCTTCCTCACTCTACTGCAGAGAACTTCAGTGGAAACCTCTGGGGAAATCAGATTTCATTCAGGCAGCATGGACATTAGAGGAAGTATCTGGGGGAGGAAAAAAATGCATGAAGAAGAGTTGGTTTTTCGTGTGTTTGGTGTCCAAAGGGTAGAGTGGACAGGCTTTGGAGAGAAGTGAGCAGCTGAACGATGCATCAGTATAAGCAGCACCAAATTAAAAGCAGTATGGAGGGACGCCTGGGTGGCTCAGTTGGTTAAGTGTCTGCCTTCGGCTCAGGTCATGAACCCAGGGTCCTGGGATTGAGTCCTGCATAGGGCTCCTTGCTCAGTGGGGAGCCTGCTTCTCCCTCTGCCTTCCACACTCCCTGCTTATGTGCTCTCTCTCTCTGACAAATAAATAAATAAAATCTTTTTAAATAAATAAATAAAAGCAGTATGGAGATAGAAATTCAGGAGATGGCATTTAATTAGAATGGCTTTGTGTTTTGAGCTAGAAACAATGGCAGGCTTCTGAGATTCAGGGCTCCACAATGTAAATATGATGTTGAAATGGAGGATGACATCTTGGTGTCTGGAAAGTGAACCTGGGCTTGGTTCTGTTTTGGTAATTTGAGGAAACTGGGCTTTGTTTCTATCAATGCCTTGAAATCTTCGTAGTTTGCATAGGGATTTCACTATCCCCTCTGTTTTTACAACAACAGCAGTAGGAGCTCCTCTGGGTGTAGATATTATTAATGCTTTTTTAGAAAAGTGGAAACTAAAGCCTAAAATAATTGGAGATCACATAGTGAAGGATAGGACTGGAAGCTAAGTCTGACTCCAAGTTTGGTTTACCTCTTCTAATGATGTTGGTCCCGAGTGAGTTTGAGGTAGGCAAGAGCTTGTGGAGTGAAATCAACTTGAAGGCCAACCACTACCAGGAAAGACAACAAGGGTTGTTATTTTCTTTTTCAGGACAGTGCTGCCTTTTTAATTATTGTTATAAAATATCCTCATTTATTCCTCAAAAATACTGATGCTTCCTCATTCAGAATTACAGACATAAGTGTGTTACATTATGCCTTGAAAATGTACAATGGTGTTCATATACAATTATATTTCATTACACAGAGGATATTCTACCTTACTGTAGACCTACTTTTCCTACATCCAATAATCCCAGAGATCCTAGTTCTTCAAGCTCAATGTCATCAAGAGGATCAGGAAGCAGACAAAGAGAACAAGCAAATGTAGGTCGAAGAAATATTGCAGAAATGCAAGTTCTTGGAGGATATGAAAGGGGAGAAGATAATAATGAAGAATTAGAGGTATCTATAACTTTTTTCCAATTTCTCAGCATTATACTGGTTGTTATATCAGCCTCAAAATCAGGAATATTTATCAGTCTACAGAAATGTTACTGTTTTAGCACAAATCCTAATGTTAGTGATGCCAGAGACTGAAATTCTGTGAATTTAATGATTTCCCTGAAATGTGTTCCAAAGTTGTAAAGGATGATAATAGTTTCTTTTTAGATCTAGAGGGCATATTCATCTGCAGATATTCAGATAAGAAATTTATATGGCAATCATGTTGTTAGGAAATGAGAACTATTTATCCAGATAATATATTGCATAGTATTATATTATAGGTTATAAAAACCAGTAAGGTGACAGAGTTATCAGGATTTGAATGAAGGTGCTTAGCGTATGTTATCGGCCACCGAGTAATCACTGGGGTTAATCTGACTGATTTGACCAATATCTCCCACCTTCATTCTTCTGAAAATGAGAACCTGATCCTCGACTCTAACCTTCCTAGATGGAGGAGTATACTTTTTGAGTCAAATATATACTTCTCTGTTGGAATTTATAGATAGGGATACAAGATAGAATTGACAGTACGTCATATCACAAAATCACCTCCTATTTTTTTAAGACAGTGTTTTCCCCATTTAATTAAAAAAAAAAAAGTTGAGGGCAAATTTCTCTTCTTACAAATATATTTAATCCCAAGTAGATTGTTAAATGAATGTTAAACTGAACTTTTAAAAATAGAAGATGAAACATTTTAAGGAATGATGTCTAATTGAATTTTCTGTAATCCCAAAACATTTTGATTTTGACATTTAAAATAGGAAGACTTTCTTCCTACAGTTGTTATGAGAAGTTGTTTTATAAGTTCTTTTATTTGTTTTTGTTTTTTTTTTTTAAGTAAGAGAACCTTTTTGGAGGATAAAAAGTCATCATACATAACTCTAATAACGATTTTGAACTACAATGTTGAGTTGGGGCTATGGAGAGTAGAGAAATCCTCCTTCTACTGCTCCTCTTTCCCCTACCCCACGAGCCCCAATACCCAGATATTGCACAGAATACAGTTTGGTACTTGCAGAGAACTATTGCATTTTCTATCAAAACCAGCTAACGACAAATTAATGAGCTGCCGTGAGCACTTTCTAACATATGCCGGGGAATGAATGAAGAAATATCAACTGTAAGGTTGAAAACATATAAATCAACGAAACTCTAAAACTGTACTCTAAGATTTATTTTCAAATTTAACAAACACTTTTCTCTTACAGGAAACTGAAAGCTGAAAACAACCAGAGAGGCTTGTGAGATCTAATGTGAAAATTATCACTCAAGATGCCTCATGTCTGATGACACATGACGCCAGATAAAATGTTCAGTGCAATCAGAGTGTAAAAATTGTCATTTTTATTCCTCCTATTGGAATACCATTTTAAAAAATTTTATTGGAGTTTTCGATTGTGTTGTTTGATCTTTATCCTGAATGAAGAACTTCCCTATTCCCCTCGCTGTTGGAACAAACCATTACACCTTACTTCCAGCAAGGGAAATATTTGACTTCTTGCTTCAGTCATCAGCCAGCAAGAGAGAATGACACAGTTCTTTTGCATTTTGCCCCTGAGATATGGCATTGCACTGCTTATATACCAAGCCAATTTTTAGCAAAGTATTGATCAGAGATACAAAATTGATTAATCAACCTCATGCCAAGGGCTGTCAAGATAAAATCTTTCTATAACCAACTGCTAAATGCAAATTAAAACATACTTCATTTTAACATGATTTTTCAAATCAGTCTTTCATACCACCCTCTGCTGGGAGAAAATAAAATATAACAAATGCAGAACAACCACAAATCAATTTGAATGGGGTAGAAACATTGTAAATATATGCTCTTTGCAACCCCTGGTGGTACTTTATTTTGTCTTCATTTCAATCGTTGAAGTATATTCTTCTTGGAAATATACTTTTGGATAAGTAGGGGTAAGCCAGTTGGATCTCTGGTTGTCTAGTCATTGTCATAAGTAAGCCTAGCAAAAAACCTTGTTCTATTTTTCAATCAAATGCAATTATAAATGCATATTACAAAAAATGGATGTTTTTAATGACCAATTGAATAAGGACATCCCTATCTTAACTGGCCTAAATTTCTTCTGGTAGTGTCAGTTCAACTTTCAGAAGTGCCACTTAAGGAAGTTTGATTTTTGTTTTTGTAATGCACTGTTTTTAATCTTTTTTTTTTTTTTGGTTTTAAAAGCACAATCACTAAACTTTATTTGTAAACCATTGTAACTATTAACCTTTTTTGTCTTATTGAAAAAAAAATGTTGAGAAGCGTTTTTAACCTGTTTTGTTCATGCTCTATGTTTGTATTTGGAATATTTGAATGATGACAGATGGTGAAGTAACGTGCGTTCTTTATTGTGGGCCATGAACAATGGTTCTTACTTTTCCTGGACTTAAAGAAAAAAGGGTTTAAGTTTGTTGTGGCCAATGTTGAAACTTATAAGATTTTCTTATAAGTTCAAAGAGAGGCATTACTTGCTTTGAATTGCCAAATGATGCCCTCTGACTGTAGATTTTTATCCTTTTTTGTTGTTATATGAATTTCATTGACTTGATAATTGGTGCTATTTGAGGAAAAAAATATATACATTTATTCATACACAGGTATCAGGCCTGACCCCACTGGAAAACAAAGCCAAACAAAACTGAACCACAAAAAAAAAGCTGGTGTTCACCAAAAACTAAATGTGTTCACTTAGATAATTTGAAAGTTACATAGAAAGGGTGTGCAGTACTAAGGGAACAATCCATGTGATTAATGTTTTCATTATGTTCATGTAAGAAACCTCTTATTTTTAGCCATAATTTTGCATACTGAAAACCAATAATCAGAAAAGTAATTTTGTCACATTATTTATTAAAAATGTTCTCAAATACATCATTCTTTCTTGTGTTGATTTCTTTTGTTTTTTCATTGTGTGATCAAATTTATTCCATTTAATCACAAAGTTGTGCTGTCTTAACATTTCACCACTATAGTATCAGATGAGTGAAAATTCTGAACAACCAGGCTTTACTTATAAGGAAAAATTCTCATTTTACTCCATGCAAATTAAAGGTATAAGATCAATCAAAACCTAGAAGGCATTTGATCGTAGAATACCATTTTAATATTAAGGAAGCACTAAAATGTTTATTTGTGTGTATCTGAATTTCAGGTAACCCATATTTGTAAAGTTTGGACCACTTATGTTCCATCAGAAAGAAAATTATATTACCCAAAATATTTGTTAGTAACTATCTGCTTTCTTGTTTACAAATTCATGTAAAATTTCTATAGTTCTATACCTACCATACATTGGGTTGAACATTGTTAAGTTTATTAGATTAGGGTCAGCATATTCAAGTATTAACTTTGGATGGATGAGATGAGCAATAGAATCTAGTGAAGGTTTTTTCCTATGATATATATATATGTGTGTGTGTGTATATATATATATATCATAATGTATATGACTATATATATGTGTATATATATATATAGTTAAATTTTGTGTTGATCACAAATTGAAAAACTGGAAAAATTTTGGACAACAAAAAAGAAGGGGGATGTATTTTGAAGGTTAATTTTACAAAAATGAAGTAATCACCAGCATCTACTTAGGTCCATAGGTCAAGAAGTCAGTTTCCAACTATTTCAAGGGAAACATTGGAGAGACATATTTAATGGCCTAATTTTTCTCTTCCCCTGTTGAGGTGACTATAAGTTAGTCTCTATTTATTTATAGCATGTGATATACATGCAAATTATGTGTATCAGAGGGCCTGGGTTTGAGTCCTGGTTTTGTCACAAGCTCTGTTTCCCTGGACACGTTCCTTAACCTCTAAGTCTCAGGTTTCTCCACCTGTGAATTCAGTAATGCCTACCTCTTGGAGCTGCTGTCATGATTTAGTGAGTTAATGTATATGACGTGGACTCTGTAAACCCCCCCAAACAATATAAGGTATTGTATTTATAGACTGAAATTCACTGCACACATTCTATCCTCACTTTTCACATGTCGTTTGTTCCTAAAAACTTGCAGAGTTAAAAACCTATCAAAGTGTAAGTGTGGTACGAGGAGGGGGATTGTTCCATTTCTGGTGAGTAAAATTCACTGTCAAAGTCCTAATTGTGGAATAAATTCTTGGTGTTTGGTTTGTTTCCCTGCTTCTGAATTCCTGAGGGCCACACAGTGGGTGGTGATATGGCATTTTCAGTACATCTTTCACATTTCAGGTGTGCAAGCATGTCACTTGACTTCAGAAAAACTATCTACTGTATTGGGGGCTGCTCTTCTGCTTAGTGGCAGAGACTATCATTTTCATTCTAGATGAACTCAATCATATCTTTCTTGGTCATTTCAGATATAAAGTCTAGATTTTCTCTTCCCTACCCTCTCTGCAGGGTGGCATCAAGATTCCAGAGGCTGTCTTCTTGTGTAGAAAGTGGGTGTATGTTGGGGGGGAGGGGTGGCATAGGGACTTTTGACATTTTGCTGTTGTCCAAGTTTCCAATGGTCTTCATTTCTCAAAACGTTTATGCTGCAACTTCCTTTTCCCTACCTTGATGTCCCTTATTCATTGACACTCTCCTGATACTTCTAAGCCCTATGATGTAGGTTGGGGGCAGGGAGCAAGGAATGGGACATTCATACGCTCTTCCATGCCATGCTGAAGCTCTGGAGACTTGGGTATGAGGCCCCTTCCTTGGGCCTCACAAGATACTACTGTGTTTCTTTAACCGCTTACCATTTAGGCTGTGTGTGGGTTGGGGGAGGGGGTGGTGGCTGGCTACTCCTGAAGTTAAAGGAAATAAGATTTAGTTCTGGATCCTGACCACCTATGCTTGAATCCTGGCTCCATGAGTTACTAGCTGTGAGCCAGGGGAAAGTTACTTAGTGAATCTGTTTTAATCTTTGAGTGGTGTATTAAGAATACCAACTTTACAAGGTTGTTTGGATTAAATGAATTCATACATGCAAAGTACATAGCAAATGCTCAAGTATTTATTGGGCAATACCTCCTCCCTCTCTGATTTTGAACTAGAAAGTGCTGCATAGGTTGCTCTATTTTCAGATTCCTAAAACTCTACTTGACCAGAAACCTCAGTGACACACTCACCATATCTAATTCTCTCACCTCATGTTTAATTTTCTCTTCCCAGTGAGATAGAACATGAAGAGACGGAGGAGGAGGAGAGAGAGAGAAGGGAAGAGAGAGACTATCATGTATATTGCTTGCATGCCAAGTCTTTGGTGTGCAAGACCTTAGCTCTTGCAACTCAGTCTTCATTCTGCTGCAGATTTCAAGAATCTATTTTGAAACCCCAAAGGGAGTGTTGAATTGCTTTTCTATGGTAACCATTCCTTTGCATTTCTCTGGTAACCATCTGAGGGCAGTGTACATAGAAAACCCTCTCATCTGCTGGAAGTATGAAGTGGGATGGTAAAGCAGGAAATAGCCTGTAGCAGGTGCAATGTCTGTTAATATTTCAGTATACGATCTTGCTACAAAAGGATATAATTAAACATTAAAAAGAGGTTACTCTTTAAAAATAGAAGTATCTTTTCTCAAATTCTAGTTTCTCAGCTTATGTCAAGAGAATTTAGCAGAAATTTAAAAGAAAAAAACCCAGGGAGTTGGCACCAGACCAAACTAAATATTGAGCATGAGAGTATAAAGATTACTTTAGCGTTAACAAATTTTAAGGATTTGGGGCGCCTGAGTGGCTCAGTCATTAAGCGTTTGCCTTCAGCTCAGGTCATGGTCCCAGGGTCCTGGGATCGAGCCCTGCATTGGGCTCCCTGCTCCGTGGGAGGACTGCTTCTCCCTCTCCCACTCCCCCTGCTTGTGTTCCCTCTCTAGCTGTGTCTCTCTCTGTCAAATAAATAAATAAAATCTTAAAAAAAAAAAAATTTAAGGATTTTTTTTTTTTTCTAGAAAACTATTGGCATTGACCTTTTTCTTTTCATAAAAGAGTCTGTAGCCGGACTCCCAACCAAGAACCTTAAGGACCTCCTGTTTTTGGATGCCAAAAATCGGTTCCTATTTTGGTATTGATGCTCAAGAATTTTCCCACATACGAACACACCCCAACTGCAGAGTCCAGTGTCTGCTCATTAAGGTTAGATTTTGTCTGTAACACACCAAATGACTGCCATTTCTACCACAAATATATCATTCTCATCAGCAGTTATATTTTTGTTATTTCCTCATTTTTATTAAATGACCAAAAAAAAATGAAATATTCAGATAACACTGCAAAGACAAGTGACAACTATGCCAAAACCGAGTTGTTGTTTGCTTAGCCCACTTGTGTTTCCACTGTAACATGCTGAATTTAGTGGCTTAAACAAATGAATACTCAATGAACAAAAATGTAGAATATGTTGGAAATGGAATGTAAGAAATTCCAGATCTTGGGCTTAAAAATAAATATTTACTCACATGAGGAATATAAATACATAAAGTTATTTTGAGTTAGCAAGTTGGTTTTTAACCAAATCCCCACCTTTTTTTTTTAGATGTATCCGGGGTGTATGAGAAAACAAATGTTGCTTTATTTTTCAAAAAGTAGATAATCCTTTGTTCTTCAAATTTCTTGTCATTCTTAAGAACACACTAGACTAATCAGCATTTTAGGTGCTATTAGTTTAGAAAGTTGCATTTTTTGTCTTTCTCTTTCCCTTATTCCCTGTTTTGAATGCTAGTGAGAGACAGGACAACAAATGAGTATTTAAAAAAATATTTTCAAAGATACTTATTCTCCAGAGGCTCTAAGTCTATGTTTCTCAAGGTGATGTCCATGAACATCTGTCTTCTAGTTATAAATTCCTGATTCCTGTCCTGATCCTGCCGATTCAGAATCCCAGGAGGCAAGGCCTAATAATTTGCATTTTGGAGACAATCCCAGGTAATTTTATGTTTAAAGAAAATAAAGTTCGGAAACCACTACCCTAACAAATCAAGTATATGGTTCATCGTGATATACATGAAACTGGAATGAAATTTTGAGTTGGCAGTGTCTTGCAATCACTTTCAGCCAGGCAATAGTCACGATGTAGTTTTGATTACCTGCTATTAAAAAACAGGTCTCATACAAACAGAAAATGAGCATTTGTCAAATTTTATTTACCTCATTAACAAGGTGATCGGCAAGAAGGTAAAGAGCAATTGAAGAACAGTTGTGGAAGGAACTTAAATATGATTGCTAAGTTAGTTAGCTTTCTATAGGACAATACAAGCAAATGTTAATATTTCTGCTGAACTAGAGAATCATGATGCCTGTCTTTCTCTGTAGGTTAAATAATCACTAACCTTCAGAGCTACGTAAAATCTGCACCTTTATTATTTGCAATTAGTCAAAAATGTACTTTGATAATTTACATTCCCCCCCAAAAATCAGATGAGGTTCAAACAGTGATTTAGTCTTTTTTGTTTCCCAAGAGGCAGAATCTGAAACAAAGACATGGGTGCAAATAATTTATTTGGGAGGTAATCCCAGGAAGTGAGTTTGGGAGTGTGAGGGGAATGGGAGGAGATGTCAACACAGGTACTTTAAAGCTGGTGAAGGCGCCTCCGGTGGGGACTCTACTGGCTCCTTTGAGAAGCACACAGAATACCTCCCGGAGTCCTTCCCCAAAGGACAGGTGCCTGGAACATTATCAGTTTACTCATTTCCCCATTGGTTGCAAGTTGCTGGTGGGGTAGGGGTGGGGTAGGTGGGGGAGTTATCTCTCAAGCCCTGGTGAGCAGACCAAGTGGGAGTAGAAGACCCTGAGGCAGAAAGTGGACCTGCTTACGTCAGGTGTCTGAGATGGGAAGGTGCCAAGATGAGGTAAGTCTGATCTCAAAGGGGATTGTCTGCCACAACAGAGTCCTCAAAGCCATATACTA